TGGTCCCATCCAGACGCGATGGGTACTTGAAAATTTGGACTTCTGCATTAATTTAAGGGTAAACTACACCCATGGTCGTTAATGTTTGAGTAGATTTTTTTCATTGAAGTTTCAAAAATAATAAATGGGTCACTAACGTTATCAATTTATAACAAAATGGTTGCTAACGTTATCAATTTGTAACAGAACAATCACTTCACCATTATATCTATTGAATTAGTGATGTGTCAATGCTAATAAAAAGGTTAATATTTAGTTTTACCCCTAAACAACTGCTAAAACATCAAATAAATCCTTAAACAATGATTTTATATCTAATTTATCACAAAAACTTTCTAATTTGTAGTTTTTTCAAATACCCCACCATCAAAACTATATTCGAACCAACTTCCTTACAAAACGAAAACAACAATGCATAGATAAATGGAGTTTTTCCATTGAAGACAAATACATGAGTATTTAAAACCATATATTCAATTAATTTTAATATAAAAAGTAATGGTTTTGTGATGGTTTTCGTTTTGTAAATAAAGTGGTTAGAATATTTAAAGACAAATGAGGGTTCGTTTAAGTGTGGTTTTCATTTTATAAGGAAAGTGGTTAGAATATAATTGGGATGGTGGGATGTTTAAAAAAATGGAAATTAAAAAGTTTTTGGGATAAATTAGATATAAAATCATTGTTCATGGACCTATTTGATATTTTAGCAATAGTTTAAGGGTAAAACAAAATATTAAATTTTTTATTAACAAATTCATGCCATCAATTTAACAGAGATACCGGTGGAGTGATCATTTTATTACAAATGATAACGTTAGTGATCATTTTGTTACAAATCAATAATGTTAGTGACTAATTTATTACTTTTAAAACTTAAATGGAGAAAACGAAAACTTACTCAAACATTATGGACCATTGGGTGTAGTTTACCCTTAATTTAATGCAACGTGAAAACATCTCCATAAAAGCATTAAGCTAACCAATTCGTGAACTAATTCTACATTACTTTCCTAATATCATCTCTCTCTTTTTTTTCAGATTTTTGAAATAAAATTATTAATTTTATTATTATTATTTATTCGTTACTTTAATTCTATTTACATTTTTTCATAAAAATTGTTTAAAATTTAAATTTGATAATAAGTAATATTGTACATAATTATAATTAAATTTGAAACAAAACTCAAATAAATATACCCAATTCAATTCAAATTAAATTTTATAACCTTGACTTGAATAAAAATATTTAAATAATAAAATAATATTAAAAAATTAACTAACTCAAATTGTTTTTTATCTAATTTTTTATATAAAGCCGCCAGTTTTATTAAAAATAGAAAATATTCAGAATTACAATAAAAATTTAAGAGTATAACCGTAAACATAAACTAAATTATATTTAGGACATTTTTCTATAACCATTAACACAAAAACTAGCCACCTAAATCGCACATGGACCATAAAAAGAAAAGGTTAAAAGACCTAACCAGTACTCGAATAAAATAAAGATACGAATAAATCTGACTGCATCGACAAACAAACCATAAAAGAAATGAAACTACTGAAAGACCACCAACAAATCGCAAATCAGAGTCAAGCTACGTGAGAAAACTATCTACAAGCGCAAAACGTGTATTTGAATCAATCCGAGGGTCCAAAGTAGGGAAATCAACATGATAACAAATAAACGTCATCTTGATCAGAAGTTGTGATGTCAAATTCAACCTTGTGAAAAAAGATAAATGAATAAAGGCAATAAACCGTAAGCTACCAAAAGGCAGAGAAAAACATGTCACAAATGCAGAGAAAAACATGTCATAAAGGTAAAGATAAATGTACTATAAAGACAGAGAATATGTCACAAAGACATAATTATTTTTATTAAAAACTAAAAAAAACAAAAAAAAAGATAATCGGTGGGCGGCAACCAACATCAAAATTGGTACCACCGCCAATTAAATAAAATTAAAAAAGAAAAATTTAGATTAATCGATAAAATTGACACAAATTATAAAGAAGAAAAAGAAAGAAAGATGAGAAGGAATAGAGCGACTTATTTTTATCTAATTTGACTCGATTAAATAGTAGGATATATGATATACACAATATACATATATTTATTTAGTTAAGATAATAAGATGAGCAGATGCCAAAAAGCTAATAGGAAACTGCCAAAAAGGTGGCTTTACAAGTGACATCTCTAATTGGTGTTTGTTTTTGCAAGATAAAAGGTTTGCAGTCTGTAGATTATATCTGCAGGTGTCTGCATCAGAAGAGGTGTACCAAAAGTCTGCAGTCTGCAAGAAGAAGATTGTTTGTTTTTTAATGTCTGCAGACAGCTAAAATAAACTGAAATATAAATAAACTGATTTTTTAAATTATACTTAAATAACCATTTTTGCTATTAATTTTTTAAAAATTATAAAATGTCATTAAATTTAATGAATTATTACAAAATAATCACTATAATGTTGTAATAAATTATAAAAGTTCGATAATATAATAATTATTTTATAGTATTTAGATAAATTTATTAATAATTTTATAATATTTTAATAAATTTAATAAGTATTTTATAATTTTTTAAACTTTATTGATGAAAATGATCATTTGTATATAACTCAACGATATCTAATATACTTTATTTGAAAAAAATATATTAATTAAATATTATACGAATTTTATTATTATAAATTATTACATTTATGGACTTTTAGATTTTGGTTTTAATATTATATATCATTTTTAAAATTATTATTAAATCAATCGATAATGAAATCAATTTGATTTTAATTCAATCTGTTTGTTTCGGTTTAAGTAATTGTTAAAAAATTATATTTTAATTCTCAATTATTATCGATTCAAAAATATATCAATACTCGATTTTATAATATCATTTAAATCATCTTAATTTATTCTAGTGGTACAATCCAATTCTAGTAACATCAAAAAAAATATATAATATATACTCCATATAATATACATCAATTAATATTTTTCTTTTTAGAAAAAATATATTATTTGTTTTTTATTTATTTATTCTGTATAAAGGGATTTTCGTACTTTACCAGAATTAAATGATAAGAATCAGATTTTTCAATAGCGTTAATATTTTTTTATTAAAACATTTATTTTGTCTTTTAATGCTAATAATTGTATGTCCCCGTGATTTTCTAAGTTTTTATATAAAATTTTTTTTACTAAGTTTAATTGTATAATATTTTTTACTAAGTTTAATATATTTTTTCAAACAAAGTATATTAGATATCGTTGAGTTATATACAAATTATCATTTTCGTCAATAAAGTTTAAAAAATTATAAAATACTTATTAAATTTATTAAAATATTATAAAATTATTAATAAATTTATCTAAATACTATAAAATAATTATTATATTATCGAACTTTTATAATTTATTACAACATTATAGTGATTATTTTGTAATAATTCATTAAATGTAATGACATTTTATAATTTTTAAAAAATTAATAGCAAAAATGGTTCTTTGAAGAGGTTAGAAGAGCTTTGAAGACATAAGTCAACGTCTGCGTCAAGAAAAGGACACACAGACGTTAGAAGAACTTCTGTCTTCTAAAAATCAAACAGTCTGCCAATGTCTACGCGTGATCTGCGCGATGTCGATGTCTAACACAAGACAACTTGTCCCTACTTTTTCACTCTTCTCTATCTACATACATGTTGCTTTTCATGCTTTCACATAGCTGTTTCCGGATCAATAAAAACAAAAACACTAGAAAAATCATCTTTAATCATATGGTTTAAATTGTAGGATCAAATTTTAAATATATGTATTTATTTTAGAGCATTAATAATTTGTTAATTAATATATTATGTTTATAAGGAGATTTTTTTGTCTTAAAATGGAACATTAAGGGATGAAAAACTCTGAAAAAAATTCAGGGTCAAAATGACCAATTTTGGGAAATAATTTTAACATTATACCATATTAATTCTTGAAGGATTGAATTAAAATTTTCAAAATATTAGGAGCTTCATATAATTTAAATAAATTTAATTCAATTGTTCTTTTTTGAAACTATGATCTCATTGGTAAAAAAAAGACGTTGTTATCTCTAGAAATTTTGATTTTAATAGTTGGATCCGTAAAAAATATATAATTATCAATAATTTAAAATATTCTAAATATATATTATTTTATAGTTACTTAGATTAATTTAAAAAATATTATTTTTTATTTCCATTCTAACCATGGCTTCCCAAGATATTTAGGGCCACTTATCTTTTCATGCTCAAATCTTTTCATGCTCAAATTGCTCAAAGGCCTAGAGACGGTAACGACTCGGGTTCGGGTCGAGTTTTTGGTTAGCCATACCCTACCTAAAAATCTACATCCTCATCTTGAATTCGAACCCTATTTGAAAATTTTATATCATCTACCCTACCCCACCCGATTCGACCCTATATAAAATAATAACTTAATTAAAATAATAATAAATTTAAAAATATTATATTATTATCCTCAAATCAGGTCGAATCGGAGTTTTTTTCACCCTCCACCCGACCCGACCTGACCTCATCCTTTAAAAAATCTGACCGACCTGGTTCCAACTAATTTTTCAAAAAAATCTTAACCTTCATAATCAAATCAGATCAAATCGAAATCTATCGAATTCGAGTTAAATTATCATCTTTACTCAAAGCCCACTTATATTGACTGGAATTTCAAGTTGAAGAGGGGTCAAATCATTCAAAAAAGTCGAAAGATATAACAATGCTATAAAGTAATTGGTAAATATTAAGAGATATATTAAATATAATTAAAAATAAAATAAAATAATCAATTTGTATTAAAAATACTATAAAAATATTATTAAATTAGAATATCAGCTTGGTTTCAGCCCCACACAACTCTCCTCGTCTTATATTTATCTTTTTTCTATAGGGGAAAAAAACCCTAACTCACCTCTAATTTCTTACCTACTTAGCCCAATTAAATGATAGAATTATCATGGAAAAAATATGAAAACTTTACCTTAAAAAGAATAAAAAGAAAAACCCATCCCTTAAAACTAAAAATATTTACATTTTTCTACACCTTCAAGAAAAACCCAATTAAAATTTCAGATATTTGGCTTTTAGGACTGTAAACTAATTTACTGGAGTGTTGTTTTTGTAGTGATGATGGAAAATTCAAGTTCACCGGAAAATAATAGTGTCGTCAACAACGTCAGCTTAGAGAATGAAGAGGAAGCTAAGGTGAAAAATGAAGAGAGTGAACGGAACTTTTCTTCAGGGAACCGTTGGCCGAGGCAAGAGACTTTAGCTTTGTTGAAGATGAAATGGACGTTGCTTTTAGAGACTCCGGTGTCAAGGCTCCTCTCTGGGAAGATGTTTCCAGGTTTGCTTTACTTGTTCCCCCCCCCCCCCCGAACTATGTTTGTTTGTTTGTTTCTCGAGAAAATCAATTGGGAAATGTAGGGTTCTAAACAGAGAAAATGGGAAACATTTGGGGTTTACTTCTGTTGAGATATTGAATTCTTTCTAGTTTAATTATACTGTTTTAAAATCACTTATATGTAAATGCAGTAAAAAATGGTGTTTTCCCTGAAAAATCATATTTTTAATTTAATATTTCTGATCAAACACCGGTCAGATTATATTTTTTGATCTAACACCCTTTGCAGTAAGGTGTGCCTCTTGTACCGCGCTATACGTTGATTTGGCACTACGTGGGGTAAGGCGCGCCTCCTAAGGCACGCCTTATGCTAACATGGATACACGTGTGTATGGCGCGGGACAGGAGTCGCGCCTTACGCCACGTAAGATATAATGCGGGGCAAAGGTCGCGCTATTCAATTATCTCAATTATCAAACATGCATCATGCAAGGCGCGATCCGACTTTAAGGCATTCTCTCTCGGTTATAAATAGCCGTCTCCCGTAAACTCTCTCACCAACAATCCTTTGAATAAGTAAATAACATCCGACAATCATCTTATATTTGATTCAGAAGTTTGCTCGATCTTTCGTTATAAGGTAATTTTGTTATAATATTTATTTTATAGTTATATATGATTATTTGAAAAAATATTATACTAATTGTTTTCAATTAATTTATGTGTTTGTAGAATTAGAAAGTGGGAGCATACATCGAAATATTTTTGCAGTGCATGTAATAATATAAAATTAAATTATTTAAATTATTTACGTTTATGTGTAAAAAAATTATTCTGTTATATTTTTGGTCATATATTATTTATTTAATCAGGTTTGTTTCAGTTTTTTACAGACATAATATTGTTGTACTTTTAAACTCTAAGAATGACGCAACTTTCAACTATTGTTTATTATGATGGAGAAATTCGAGAAGATGAAACTGACGTTGTATTCGTATCAAATGAGCGTGATAAAATATCATTTAAGAGAAACATAACTCTTGAGGAGCTGATAACGAAGATTTCGAGGAAGGTTCATGTTGGAAGTAGTAGAAGAATCTCGTCGTTGCAGTATAGATTTCCAACATCATTGTTGCCATTAATTTATACAGCGTTCGAACTATTGAACAATTATGATGTTGAAATGATGGCTGATTCTCAAAGTAATTATTCAGACGGCGATATTGAGATGTATGCAAAGTTTGTTCAAGTGCGTGCTGTTCGGGGTCAGCCATTAAGTTCACACTATGGGCTGGCTGAACAAGTTGATCAAGTTGACAGCCCGACTACAGTAATGTGTAATGATTTTAATGCCATAATGGGAAATCCACATCATGGTGCTGACACATCAACTTCAATGGGGAGACATTCATCCATAACTCCTTACGATATGTACCGAGGTGGGTCCACGAACAATCCGTATGGCAACATCACGTCCAGTTTGATGAGAAGGCATTCGTCTGCAAATTTTTTTGACCTTAATATGGAGATGCCATCGACGCAACAATTTGTGCAGTTTTCATTTGACACGATGTCTTCAAGCTCTAGGGGGAGGCATTCGACTGCGAGTTTTTTCGATCTCAATCCAGATATGCCTTCTAGTTCAAGGGGAAGACGTGCCAGTAGTAGGTTCTTCGACCTAAATGTGGAGAGCATAGAGGAACCATCATCTCCACATGAAGAATCGATTCGTGAGCCTGGTGTGGATGGTGCTGAGACTGGACTATTCATTCATCCAGAATCACCACAATTCAACTCCGGTGGTGATGATGATGTAGATGAAGTTCCAGTAAATGTGGCACAAACTGACTCTCCAACACACATGTATGAAGCTGATTATGATGCAATGTACGGGCCAGAATTTACGGACATGCCTCATCTCGGTGATTATGGATATTACTCATTAATAAATAATGGCGAGTTATCTTTAGACATGGAGTTTTCAAGCAAGGAAGAAGCGATGATGGCTATCAAAAATTACAATATCCGTAATTCTGTTCAGTCCAGAGTCGACCGCTCCACGACCGAAAAATATATATGCTACCGTGCCCGACGCGAAAACGGATGCAGTTGGATGGTTCGTGTATCGAAGAGGAAGAGGAAAAACAACAGATGAGAACTAACAGTATACAACGGTCCATACACATATTGTGCTGGAAGGGTCAACCTAGATCATCCCAACTTGGACTCTGAAGTGATATGTCAAGCCATCATGCCCATGGTAAAAGCAAGCTCTCATATAGCTGTTGAAGTGTTGATTTCAGCTATACAATCGCAGTATGGGTACACTGTCTCCTATAAAAAAGCTTGGTTGGCAAAACAAAATGCCATTGTAAAACTTCATGGCGAATGAGATACATCTTACAACGAACTTCCAGTCTGGTTTAGGCTGGTGCAGAGGTTGAATCATGGGACAATTGTGGACTTCGAAACCTCCTATGCATACCATAATGATTGAGTTCTCTGCGATCGATGTCAATTCTACCAGGTTTTTTGGACTTACCCACAGTGCGTTAATGCTGTCAAATACTGCAAGCCTGTGGTCCAGATCGACGGGACTTTCTTGTATGGAAAATTCAAGCAAGTTTTATTATTGACAGTTGTCCAAGATGACAATCGCAACATTCTTCCAGTTGCTTTTGCTCTTGTTGAAGGAGAAGATACAAACTCTTGGGCTTTTTTCTCCAAAATTTACGTGCACGTGTTATCACGAGGGAAAACATCTGTGTCATTTCAGATCCCAGAGCTGGGATCAAAGCAGCAATGGAGTCTTTGGGTCCAATGTGGCAACCACCCCTTGTCCAACATAGGTATTGTCTCCGACACAATCCTGCGAACTACCATGGAAGGTACAAGAAGAATGATGAGCGTCAATTAATTGTGCGTATGGGTACGTGAAACTGATGTAGTTTGTTTTCTTTCGATCGTTTTAATTTTGCAAAGAAAGCAAGCTAGTAAGTTATACATTTTTTGATCAGGTTATGAACTACTTCCTCGAACGTTTGAATCAATGCTTCAAGATTTACGGGCAAAGAACGATGAAGGATACGATTACATCAGCCTCATCGATAAAGAAATGTGGACGAACGTATATGATGGTGGATATCGATATGGGCATATGACGACCAACTTGGCAGAGGCAATCAATTCAACTTTAAAGGGTGCACATCACTTACCAGTAGCGGCTTTGGTAAAGACTACATATTTTCGTTTGGGGTGCTTTTTGCGAAGCTCGAGGGACAAGCTCAAACATGGATGCAAGGCGGCCATGTCTATCACCCTAGATTAGTTGTATATCTACAGAAAAAAATTTCTGCATCAAATGGAATCTCTGTAACAAGCTTCTCTATAAGGCATGAAATGTTTTGTGTCACAGAGTTACTGCGACCTCTTCAATAGATTGAAGATGTGTCGTTAAGAGTAAATCTAAGGGACAGAACGTGCGACTGCAGGTTTTTTCAAGCTCTTAAGTATCCATGCTCTCATGTGATAGCAGCTAGCTCGCATACACGTCAAGACTATAACCATTTTGTGGATCTCGTATACCTACTATCTGAAGTTTTTAAGGTATATGAATTTGAGTTTCCCCCCATAGGTAATGACAAAGACCCTGATGAGGTTTAAGATTGGCTTCCGATTGTACCAAATCCGAGTTTATTGAGGGAGCGTGGTCGTCCAAAATCCAATCGAATTCATTGAGATATGGATATTCGAGAAAGATCTAGACAAGACAGAAGATGTGGGCATTGTAGAAACCCAGGACACACTATAAAAACATATCCACTTCTGTTGCCATCAAGTAACAATTGATGAGGAAATGATGTATTTGTTTATCAAATAATAATTCTTGTACTTTGATTTGAATTTACTTCAAGTTAATGTCATTCGATAATCGCTGATGAAGATTAAAAAACGATACAATAATACAAGATTGGACGTTTGCGTTATATGTGATTATAATAAAAGAGATAACAAGTGACAAACTTAAGAAAGTTATCGAATAATTTGGTATTTCAAAATAATTTTAAATACAACAAACTTACAATAAGTATTAAATGGTAAATGATAACCAAAGTACAATAACTGATATTAAATGGTAATAAACAAAATTAATTGAAATACATTAAAAAAAGTCAAACAAATTTAACAAAATAAAGTAAGAATTAAATGAGAAATAATAAAAAATTACAATTAAAAAGTCTAATAAACTAAATACAAATATAATAAAAAAAACAAAATCTATCGATGCCTGCGACGCGAATGTGTTCCGCAGGGCGGTGGCTGTCAGTCTCGAGGAGGATTTCTTCGGATCACTGGTTGTGACTCCTCGCTGTCATCATCATCACCACCATCATCATCATCGTCGTCGTCGTCGTCGTCGTCCTGAGTAGGTACATTATATTGATGAGGAGCTGATGACGATGAAGCACCTCCATAGAATAAGGACCTTGGAGGTGTATGACTGACTATCCCACTGGCCTGCGAAAACTGGGAAAACTCATAAAACCCAGACATCGCTGAGTGTGAAAGCTGTACAGGAGGTGTCTATGCTGCGGCCATGGGTGATGAGGCTGAGCCCGCTAAATATCCAACATATAAACCCCAAGTCAGATCTACAAACATAGATCCAACATAATGGATGCGGTATGTAAGTCGCTGGATACGGTGGCTGCTGTGAAGGTCCTGCTGGTGCAGCTGAGGATGAACCGGATGCCCCTGCTCTCCGTGCACTAGTCGGGGGACGATGGTACTGTGTCGGTGAACGTCTATGTCGACGTCGCGAGAAGGTCTGCCCTCGTGCATCCTCGGGAAGCAGAAACGGTTTGCCGTTACTGTTGAACCACTCGTAATAACCGTCAGCAACCATCAAGAGGTCAAGTAAAATGGGCTCTCTATGGGGAAGGCGACGATGTCGATCCTCCCACAACACGACCCACGCATGATGCCTTACCAGCCAATCTGTATCTTTCTTGCCGCATCTATCTGTGCTATGCAACTCGTCCATATTGCGAGGTGCTTCCGGAATTGGTTGAAAACAACCAAATTATCGGAGCACGCGATCAGTGGAGTGTCACCCGACGGTCGCATAACAAATCAAGGGGATCATCGCCATCCAAACATCTGATGGGCCCCTCAACTCAGGTGGGATCACCGCCCTCACATCATTAGTAGAATATGGCACCCATTCAAACTAAAACAAATATCTATAATTTTTTATCAAAATATTTATCTAATTATATAACTATAATCTAAAATTGATTTTTAAACATTAAAATTCATACTTGTGTGTCAGTCTTCTGATCGATTAACACCCTAATTTTTTATAAATCATCAGGTAGCTCCTGATGATTTTTCCTATCAGTAGACCACCTATTCAAGAAAAATAATTTCTTATTGTTGAGTTAATCGATTGACGGAATTAGCCAAGAGGGGGGTGAATTGGCAATTAAAAATCCGGTGGAAGCTTTTGTAGAAAATTGAAAAGATTTGCACAACGATTTAGAGTGGTTCGACTTTCTCAATCAAAGTCTACGTCCACTACCTTAGCTATCCACACTAAGGATTTTCCAACAAATTCACTAATTTGTTCTTTCTTTTGAGGCCAAAGAGATAACCTTACAACACCCTCAAGAATATACCCCAATTCTTGAGAATACTCTTTTACCAAAGAGAAGATTACAAATTTGCAAAATTACAAGGAAAACCTCACAAGGTAAGATGTTTGCACAATTCTAGAACAAGAAAAGAACACTCAAAGATAATTACAAATGAGCACAAATGGTGTTCTTGAAAGCAAAATGAATATTGAAAGGAAAATTGGCTTGATTTGCACAAACTTGGTGTTTGATGCTTTCTCTCTTGTTTCTCTATGATTTCTTGTTGATCAAGGGCTTCAGAACTTGTTTAAATACACCTTGAATCACTTCTGAACGTTGGGGATGATTAGTGAAGATCATATAGCCGTTTTAGTGTGAAAACAATTAATAAAACAGTTTGGAGCGTGGGGGGGAATCGGTACCCCCTATGGGGAATCGGTTCCCTAAGTGTAAAATTCAAATATTTCGACCATTGAACAGGGGAGAATCGGTACCCCCTATGGGGGAATCGGTTCCCTCCGAGCATTCTGGAAATCTCGGAGCCAAACCATTCAGGGGGGAATCGGTACCCCCTTGGGGGGAATCGATTCCCTCTGAGCAATCTGGAATTTTTGACTTTGAAATGGTTCGAAATACTTTGAAAGATTATTTTGAAATTGTTTTAAGATTAAAACTTAATTTTACACTTAAGTAAGGATTAAAAAATGATTTTTGAAATATTTGGAGTAATGTTTTGATATTCGAATAATTATATCGAATATACTTAGAAGATCATTTTGGAAAATCTTAAAATTCATTTAACTTAATTTGTTATATCGAAATATCAAAAAGTTTTCAACACTTATTCACTGTATAAAATTATTAATATACAAAATCAGTTTTATAATTACCTCAGGAGTAGCGGAAATACGATTGGGTCTTGACAACGGGACATAAAAAGGGCAATCGATACCATGCCCAAGACTACAGTAGCAGGAGACATCCGCCGATAGCATTACGCCTGTAGTCAATGGCTCGACACATCTCTCTGTACATGCAAGCCAAAACTACCGAGCCCCAACTGAGTGATCCGAACAGATAAAAGTCGCCAAGATGTTGCAAACACATACAGTGAACTTGGTTGCACGATTTGTCCGGCATCAGCAACCCTCCTATCAGCTGCATTATGCATGCCCGTGCATACTGTTTAACTTCATCGTCAGACGCGTCCTTGCTCAACTCTCGAAAATTGGCATCAACCAATTTAACGGTATCCGTCCACCGTTAAAATTTTCTGGGACACGTCCTAGACTAACCCGACACAAAGTAGTCCAAGAACCGGAAGTTATCCCTGATATCACACCTCTATCCACCGAAAGCCCCAGGTGCATAGAAACATCCTCAAGCGTGATCGTGCACTCTCCGCACGGAAGATGGAATGTGTGGGTCTCTGGCTTCCACTGCTCTACTAAGGCAGAAATAAGGTCTGATTCTATCTTACAGTGACCCTGATATCTACCTAGGTGACCAAATCCAGCCTCTACTAAATACGACATTACACAAGTAGGTATAACTAACTTAAGGTTCCTAATAAAAGGATCTAATATACGGTCTCTCTCCTAAAAAACAAATAATTACACAAATTAATTTTTAAACTAATAATCATGCATTAAATAAATTAATTAATTAAATTAAAATGTTAAAATGTTACCGTATCAGCAAAGTGTCGAGATATATGATTTTCATCCAACCAAAGTAGACCGCCTTTCATTTTATGTCTGCAAAAAAAATTAATTAAATAAAATATTTATAAATTAAAATAATTAAATAAATTACTAAAAAAACTAAATATAATAAAATATACCTTAATAATAGAATATAAGAGTATTTGAGAGAAGTTGAGAGGATTTGGTGTGATGAAAGTGATTGAGAATTGGGATATTTATAGGGAGGGATGGGTGTGAACGGGAGGGGGTAATTTGGTAATTAAGGGTATAGTGTGGGGCAGGGCCCGCGCCTTTCTGACGCATGTCAGAATCACAGGTAAGGTGCGGCCCCTGCACCGCACCATACCCTTAATTACCAACCTACCCTCGCCCGTTCACACGTGTATCCATGTCAGCATAAGGCGCTCCTCAGGGGGGGCGCCTTACCCCACATGGTACCAACTCAGCGTATAGTGCGGTTCAGGGGGCACGCCTTACTGCAAAGGGTGTTAGATCGGAAAATATAGTCTGACCGGTGCCTGATCGAAAATATTAAATTAAAAAGATGATTTTTTGGGAAAAACGCCATAAAAAATATAGATTTTTAAAAAGTGCTTTTTTAAATACTATTTTGTTTTAATTTCACTGTTAAGTTCACTAATCTTAACAATCTTTGATACTTATAGTTAGTTAAACCCCATTTATTACATTAATTTACCAAGTTAAAGTAATTAATATTCAGGTGCAACATTGAGAATTTTTTTCTTAGGAAAATGGCTGAGCTGGGATTTATTAGAAGTGCCAAGAAATGTAAGGACAAGTTTGAGAATATCTACAAGTACCATAGGAGAACCAAAGAAGGTCGGTTTGGGAAATCGAATGGGAAGAATTATAGGTTTTTCGATTAATTAGAAGCATTTGATCATCAACATTCTTTTGTTCCACCTGCCAGTGTAAATTTCAATGCCTCAGTGGAGCCTTTGAATGTTATCCATGATGCTATTCCGTTTTCGGCCTGAAATCCAGCTTCGAATTTCAATGTAACCTCTTACCTGATCTGTGTCTTACCAGTGATGTGTCCGATTCGAGAGTCGGTTACAGTCAATGAAGGGTTAGCACCCTTGAACTGCCCTTTCGGTACTATGTAATTTCCAGTTGTCTTTAATTAAAAAAATTGAAAGTTTAACCTAAAAGGTAAAATAACGATCCTGATTACTTACATCTGATTGATTGAAAACGTACCCTTCAAAAGTCAAAGAATGTGTTAGGAAAAAAAGTGAAAATAATTAATAAAAAAACGAATGAAAAAAATAAAAAGTAATATAAATAAAGAAACCCAATGAAATAAAAAAATAAAGTAAAGGTAAAAAAATTAATGCAATAAATAAAATGAATAAAACTAATAATCATAATATATACATATTGACACATAGGATAGAAAAATAAAAATAATATACATATAATAATAACAAAATAAAAAAAATAAAAAATATATATGTAAATATGTAAAATATTATAGAAAATATATTAGGAATAAAATAATAAATGATGAATAAGAATGATAATAGTAAAAAAAAGAAATACTAAAAATAATAATAATAGTAAGTAAATGAAAAAAAAAATGAAAAAACGATAATAAGAATGATATATATATATATATATTCATATCTAATACCATAATAGTAATAATAAAAGAATATATAATAAAACGAAATTAAATAATAAAAAAAGTAAATAAATAAATAAAATTAGAGTAATTGATTTCAGTAGGGGGCTTAATTGAAAAAAAAACGAATTGCGTGACCAAATTAGAACGAAATCGGGGTTCAAATTGCATGGTTTAAAAATTAGGGGGACCAAAACTGAGATTACCCCATTTTTAAAGGAAAACACGCGGGTCAGAAGAATGGGTCGGGTCAACACGCGGGTTAAATTAGATCTATGGGTCACGTATAAAACTCAAACACTTCCCTTTTACCAATTCATTTCATTCATTTTAAATCAAATCCCCCACCTCGTTTTTTAACTTTCTCTCGCCTGTTCTTCCCCAAGGAAGAACACATACCATTGTTTCTAGAAAATTGGCCTTCGGCCACCTTGTTTATCGACGACAAAACTCCAAAAAATGATTTTTAAAAAAAATATATATATAGCCTTTTTTACCCTTTATTTTTAAATCAAAAAATTTTTAGAAAAAGAAAGAGCCTCGGGGTAGATCTACCCTGTTCATCGGCGTTCAGATTGAAACAAACAAGAATATAAACATGCAAGCCAACTACACGAATGAAAAGGTAAAAAAAATACCTCGTTTTTATTTCTTGTTTCGAAATGCTCTACAAGTGTTCGGACACTCTTTGTATTTGCTATTGTGAACTTGTGTGTGTGTTCGTGGTAATCTCTGTGTACTCCCCATGTTCCTACAACCGTGTATGTGCTCTCTATTTATAATACAAAAGATGCCCTATTTTTAGATTTTAATCCGAGTAAAACTCAGTTTGGTTGACGTTTGATGAGTCCACGACTCTGATCTGTTATTTGTTTGTGTTCCATGTGGTCACGACGCCGAGAAAACCGGCTGTGGGAGGCATGTTGTGCGAGGGAACTTGATCGGTGAGAAACGGCACTGGAACGAGGGATGGGCATGCGGCGCTAGGGTTTCTGGAAACCCTAGGTTTGGCTTGGGAGCTGATCTACACGTGGGTTTGGGCCTGGTGCTGGGCCACCTGTTGGGTTTTGTAACTTGGGGACTGTGAAATAAAACCCAAATTAATAAAATATTATTATATAATATAGTTTATAATAAAAAACACAATATTATATAATAAAATATCAATTGGTCGAAATTCAGTGTCTTCAGTTGTCCCTCTTTTCTCATTATCGTGTAACGAAAATAGAGCAAAGATTAAAAGACACAAATTTCGTCCTTATCAGATGCCCTATGTCATAGAGTTGAAATCTGATATTTGGTTGGCTTGTCGGTCTAAATATGAAATAACTCCCTCGTCGTGAGGTCAAGTTGAACTGGAAGCTTCTGAGCACGATATCCTTCGTCGTGAAGTTGAAATCGAACTCAAAGCTCCTAACGAGTAGCCTCTGAATCATCTTCTGGCTCAAGATACTTCTTCGTGAAGGTGAAACTTGACCTGAAGACTTTGGTGTTGTAGTGTTACAGATGACTCATTTGTCGTGAAGTTGGCTCAATCTGTTAGGGTATGATACCCTTCGTTGTGAAGTTGTGTATGGCCCATTCGTCGTGAAGTTGAGTCTGGGAAATGGATATCCTTTGTTGTGAAGTTTAAATCCAATGTAGGTTGCGTTGTTTCGAGGCCAATATCCTCCGCCGTGAAGTTGAAATTGACTCTGAAGCTGGAAAGTTTATTAACAACCACTCATTCTTTGAGTTAGATATCATTCGTCGTGAAGTTGAAATCCAATCTAGAGATGGATGCTGTTTGTGTGCACGATTCCCTTCGTCGTGAAGTTGAAACTACGGGTGACCCTTTCGTCGTGAAGTTGAGCATGATAATTGGATATCCTTCATCGTGAAGTTGAAATCCAAGTAATTTGTATCGCTCCTAGTCCAATATCCTCCATCGTAAAGTTGAAATTGGTTCTGGAACTGGAAAATTGTTTGTTGACAGTCAGTCGCCCCTTCGTTGTGAAGTTGATCTTGTGCTGTCTCGAGTCTAATATCATTCGTTGTGAAATTGAAATTGACTGAATGAAATTTTGTTGACAAGGAGCCGCCCCTTCGTCGTGAAGTTGAGCTTGTGTTGTCTTGGGTCCAATATCCTTCGCTGTGAAGTTGAAATTGGCTCTGAAATTGGGAAGCCCATTCGTCGTGAAGTTGAGCCACAAATGGCACGATATCCTCCATCGTGGAGTTGAAATCGTGGATGTGTGAGTACGATATCCTCCGTCGTGGAGTTGAAATCGCGAATGGCCCCCTCGTCGTGAAGTTGAGCCTTGACTTAAATATCCTTCGCCGTAAAGTTGAAATCCAAGTATTGTATGTTGCGGGTGGAGACGATTCCCTTCGCCGTGAAGTTGAAACTGTGGATGACCCTTTTATTGCGAAATTTGTCTTTGAGTTAGATATCATTCGTCATGAAGTTAAAATCTACTCTTGAACAAATCGTGTTGTTTCGAGTCCAATATCCTTCGTTGCGAAGTCGAAATTGGCTCTAGATAAAACCTGCAAAGATATGCATATATGCGATGTTATGGATACAATGCTCTTAGGTATGCCTAAAATGCATATGCAACATATGTTATTCTAGGCTCTGGAAAGAAATCTCGATCTCCGGTGGCCTGTCGTTGTTAACTCTTGATTTTGAAATCTTGAAGTTTTGATTACTGATCAAATGTTCAAATCTGATGTGCATATTCTATTGGTTTCTTGATTTGGGAAATGATTCTCGACCATCTCAAGTATGTGCATGAGCCTTGATCGGCTTCTGGGTACCTGTTCTTTTCAATGAATCTTTGTACAGTAATATGCGATTATCTTTTGCATAAGTAGATAAATCATTGAGTTTAAGTTCAATTCAAGATGCTCGAAAGGAATTGATTTAGAGAAAAAGATTGTATTTATTCATAAGGAAGAAAAAGAACAAATAATACATGACAAATATTTTGGAAAATGAATACATGATGAAGTATGAGATCTCGATAATGTGGGCACTTCTGAGCTGAAAAGCCGTCAGGTGACTTTGAACACAACCTTTGCCAAGAGATCTTTGAAAATGTGACAACGTTCTGGAGAGTGCAACCTTTCTCCGACTTGTTGAGTTTGTAGGAGATTCAGATGCCGGGATGCTTCCACTGTCTGGATTTCTTGAACTGATATCCAAATCGCCCTTTCGGGTTTTCAACTTGGACCCATCCTTGGTTGCAAGACGCCCTTTTCGGGTGTTCATCTTGAACCCACCTTATTTTTCTTTTATTTTTTCTCTTGTTCTTGTTCTTGTTCTTTTTCTCTTTTTCTTTTTTTTTTCAATTTAGGGTGCCTTTTCGGGTTTTCACCCTAAATGTTTTTCTCTTTTTTATTTTTTTCCTTTTTTTCTTTTTTCTTTTTTCTTTTTTCAACTTAGGACGCCCTCTCAGGTTTTCATCCTAAGAGAAGTACTTTTTGACTGCATCTGAGTTGATGGGATGTGGCAGTTCAGGTCCGTCCATTTCAGTCAGGACAAGGGCTCCTCCAAAGAAGGCATTTTTCACAACATAAGGTCCTTCCCAATTTGGCGTCTATTTTCCTCGAAAATCTTTCTGGACTGGCCAAATTCTTTTTAGTACCAGATCTCCTTCGCGGAATATTCCAGGGTGTATCTTTTTATCATGTGCTCGGATCATTCATTTCTGATAGATTTGACCATGATGAATGACTTTCAGTTCTTTTTCATCTATCAGGTTAAGCTGATCATATCTGGATTGTACCCATTCTGCATCATCCAGTTTGACCTCTGTCAAGACCCGGAGTGACGAAATCTCTACTTCAATGGGTAGTACTGCTTCCATTCCGTAAGCTAGTGAAAATGGAGTTGCCCCAGTCGAGGTTCGTACCGAGGTTCGATAAGAGAACAAAGCAAAAGGCAACTTCTCATGCCAGTCTTTGTAAGTTTCAGTCATTTTCTCCATTATCTTCTTAATGTTTTTGTTTGCTACTTCTACTGCTCCGTTCATCTTTGGTCTGTAAGTAGTAGAATTGTGATGCTTTATGTTGAACTACTCACAAAAAGTATTCATCATCTTGTTGTTCAAGTTTGTAGCATTATCGGTAATGATCCTTTCATCTAGACCATACCGACATATAATCTCTTTTTTCAGAAACTTGCAAATAGTGGACTGAGTGACACTGGCATTTGATGTAACCTCTACCCATTTTGGGAAGTAATCAATTGCCACGTGAATGAAACGGTGACTATTCGAAGCCTTTGGATAGATTTGCCCGATAACGTCCATGCCCCACACTAAGAAAGGCCACAGTGACGTCATTACATGAAGTTGATGAGGTGGAACGTTGATTTTATGTCCGTAAATCTGA